TCAAAGAAAACTTTTACTTACAAGTTTTACCTTTTGCTTGTACTCTATTACATCTTTTGAACATTTTGATTTCTACTCCTCTTGAACTTTTCATTTTCTTCACAAAAAAGTTTTAAAAGTGATTTTTGACCTCGGTCATGGAAAATGCCAGTGTTTTATTAGTTAACGAGAAAGGAATTCACTTCTTCTGTGTTTTCATTAGACACAGACAGACATTCTGGTGTTTAATGTCACTCTCTGAGCTGCAGTTAACAAATGATTTGTATAAGAAAAGCTATCTCATTTTTTCCGTTGTCATCTTGATGAGAAACATACAAAGATTTTTCCCTTTTAAAACTCTGAATCTTTTCTAAACCTTAGAATCTTGAGATATTTTATCCATTAATTTATTTTTTAGTTTAGGAAATAATGGGACTAAGGGGGTTTTTTTGGGGTTCCCTAAGAAAATAGTTTAGAAGAAACAAGAAATTGAGATGTTTCCAGAAAGATCTGAGATGGTTCCAGAAAGTCATTGTAGTCTTGGAAACTTTACAAATGGTACTCAGATCCAGCTAGAAAGCAACATCTTTCATCTTCATAGTTTTGACTTTTAAGTAATTCTCTTTAATCTCTTCAAGGTGGTGACAGCATTTGATGTTTCAGAATGAAAGAACTGGACTGCATAAAAGAGTCATCCTCAGTGGGAACCAGAGAGTTTCAATAGATGACACTCCTCTATCAGTGACAGTTCATAGATGGAATAAGATTAAGATGTGGAACCTCTCTGAGGTTCCCTGGTGGCCTAGAAAAAAGTTGTCAAAACAAAGGCAGGTGGTTTGAACCCAGCTGCTGCTCTTCAGAAGACAGATGGACTATCTGCTACCATATATTTTATAGCCTGTAAGTTAGAGTCATCTGTGAATTGGTTTGGACTTGCAAGCAGTGAGTTTAAGTTCTTTGAATTTGTTTTCTTCTCAGACTTAACTGAACTCCTGCCAAATTAGCAGCAAATTCAATATCACATCAATTTAGTAGCCTGAATTATTTAAAAGGCATATATTTTTAGCATTGTCTTTCTTTCCCAGAATTGTTCCAAGGGCATTGCTTTTAATACATAGAAAGCTAAAATGTTTAATTGCAGAATTTCATGAACTTACTTATTGGCATTGATATCACCTGATATAAAATACTTTTGAGATGCTAAAGAAATACAAGACATCATGAATAAAGAGCACAAATTTTGTGTCATCAATATTTTATTTACTTACAATTTACATGATCCAAACTGATGATGGTATCTGGTTAAATCATAAATTTCTGGAACTCTTTTTTAAAAATAAGATTACCAAGTTAAAAGTTGTTCATTAAACAGAAATATCTACTCCTTTGTTATCTTTGTGAATGTATTATCTCATATTTTCTGTGACAATAGTGTAGTCTTAGTTATCTCCATGGAATGAGAAGTAGTTGTAAAAATAAGAAACTGAGACAATATATGCTTTGTGTTCCCTAGTTATGTAAGGGTTTAATAAAAATTCAGCTCTGGTTTTAACTCTGTATTAGCTAAAGCTCTGAATGCATCTTATATCAATGACACTGAACTAAGTTTTCTCTCCTCTTCAAAGAACCACTGTTTCTAATGCTATGCTACATTTCCCCCATCTACTCCTATGCTTGATTATATGAGGAACACAATCAGAAAGTTAATTTCTATTTGACTGATTACCATTTCTTAAACATAATGGAAAATAGATTTACATAACAACTAAAGATATATTCTTGAACTCACAGTTTTGTCATTCTGACACAAATATAACTCAAAATTTATTTTAATGGAATTATTGATGTAGCAAAATAGAGAAGTCTTAATATTGGAACATACTTAATTAACCTAAAATTCCTCTTCCAGCTCTAATGAAGCAATTTTACTTAGTAACACCCATCTAGGCATTTTTTATCCAAAAAACAGTAAAAAAAAATACTTCTATCTGATAAAGTCTCCATTAGATATTTGAAATATATTTTTTTAATTCATATAAACCGTTTTGAAAACAGTCTTAATACTTAAGCATTTTTAAAGTCTAATTATTACAAGTGTGTGTCCGTATGAGACAACGGGATGCTCATATTTAAGAGAATGACATTTAATAGTAAAATGAATACATTTAGTATTTTAAAACTTCATATAAAATAGTACCAAACTCAGCTCTGGTTATGTACTGCTGGGTAGAAACCAACGCCTAGCTGATTCTCCTGGAAGTTTTCAAAGGCAGTAAATTAAGCAGAAGAAAACTGTCCAACTTCCCCACCCCCCACCTCCCGCGAATCAGCTGGTGGATTCGAACTGTGGGCATTTGGCTAGGCAACTCAATTCCTCACCACTAAGCCATCAAAACTCCAGACCCAGCTCAGTTAGGGAACATTAATTCTGTTGTTTATGGGAAAGGTACTTTGCTGTCAGCCACTAGGTGGCGATACTTCACGCTAAAGTTAACCCTGTTTTTATAAAGTGCTGTGACTTTGCTTTCTCACTGGAAGAAGAAAAGAAATTAAGTAGAAATTTCACAAATATGTAAAAAAGGAACAAATTTCTTTTGGAGGACATGTTTTATGATCTAAGAAGTTAGCGAAAAAAAAAAAAAAAGAAGTTAGCGTTCTTTAGAGTTGCGCTCTTTCTCGCGAGGGATTTTTAAGGCAGATACAAGAACTCTCCACCCCAGAACGCCTATCTGGCTACTTTCAAAGTGTTGTAACCTGGATCCTGTTCGATACGCTTCTCACTAACAGAATCCCTTTCTAAAACCTAGTTGGAAAATGAGAAGTATTATTCAAAACACTTAAATAACTTCATTTTGTTTTCACGAGAAAGAGAATGCTGAACTTTTGAGTTTAGAAACACATAAATAGCAAAATTGGATAGCTAGTATTTTAAGTAGCTAGAGAGAAGGGGCTGGGGAGGCTTGTTTAAAATATGTATATGTAGGTACCAAAGTTTTCCTGCTCCTTTCTAAAGATAGTTTCCTCCTTCTGTCTAAAGATGGTTCAATAAAAAAAAAAATAAAAATCATATTTGTAATATTCTGCAAACCATTGTTGTGAAGTGTCTTCAAGTGGAATGAGACTTATAGTGGCCCTATGGACATCAGATCTGAACCCTGTCCGATCCTGCGTCATCCTCATCATCTCTGACGTACTTCAGTCCCTTGCTGCAGCTACTATGTCAGTCCATCTCCTTGAGGGTCTTCCTCTCTTTGCTGACCCTGGACTGTTTCAAGCATCATGTCCTTTTCCAAGGATTAACCTCTCCTTACAACATGCCCTAAATATGTGAAATAAAGCTTCACCATTCTTGTCACAAAGGAGTAAACACTTGGAACCCAAACTCAAGGGTTTGTAATCTTTTCCATAAGTGGAAACGGTCATTCCTCCACACCCCTCCTCCCCCCTTTCCCTCCCTGGCCCGCAAAATCAGGAGAATGTGATAGCTTTAGCAAAATTAAAAATCTAGATTAGGTGGGATGATAGAGTCTTCTGGTATTTTAACTGAAGACTGGAGACTGTAACATTTTTTTTGGGCGGGGCAACATGGCGGGAGGGGGAGGAGACTGAAAGAAGAGGAGGAGGAGGATGAAGGGGAGGAGTGATGGGAAGAGGAAGAGACTGCAGGGGTGAGGCCCAGGGGTGGGGTGGTAAGTGGAGGAAAGAAAAGGAGGTTCCAAAGTAGCCCAAAGGGGTGGGGAGGTGAAGAGGGGGAAGAAAGGAGAGGAGGGATGAGAAGAGGGATGGAAGGAAACAAGGGATGAGAATTTTTTTCTTTTATGGCCATGAGCTGAACATGACTCTGAAGAGAAGGCATTGTGTCCCCCCTCCCGCTTGCACTCAGTACTTGTGAGAACACTACAGATCATGGGTGTGAAAATAAAATTGACTCTTTTACACAGTTTGCAAAAGCCAAAGATTGAAAATATAAATCGATTCAGTTCTGTGCAAATAAAACTTAAGTATGTAATGATTTGACTATCTCAAAACGTAAAACGTTTTCATATTTATTTTATATGTAGTATCTTACTCCAGTTTACCCAGTAATTTCATGGCTACAAAGAACACGTGAGTTAATATAAATAATTTTTTAAAAATTTTAAAATTTCTGGAGGAAAATAGAACTGGAAATAATTTCATATACTTAATAGAAAATCCATCCTATTAACTTGATGTTAAACAATCCTGGTACCTTTACCTTGTATGTAGAAAAGTAAAAATATTCCTGCTGCAAGCATCATTTATAAAATGATCGTTATTATTATATCATTCATTAATGCAAGTGCAATTGAAAGGTAGATCATGCAACAGTTACTACTACCTCCTTCACAATATATGATTAGAAAATATGCATTAAATAATCCTGTTTTATCAACATCAGAAAAATAGGAATGATGACACTTTTCTAACATTTTGAACATGCTTAAAGAATGTCGGTAGATCTTGCTAGCATTGTAAAGGAGTATGTTCAACGATGCTGACAATGTATAGTATTTTCTTGTAGAATAGTTCTAAAGCATGTTATTTTTAAAGCACATTTTCTTACTGGGAAAACAATGCTCAGTATTCTATTCTCACAAAGGACGAAGCATATAGGAAAACATGAAAGTATTACAAGAGACCAGTAACTTCCAGATTGCCTAGGGAAGCATTCCAAGATGTTAACAATCCAGGAAGGGAAGTTTTTAAAAGCCATATTAAAAGTTTCCAGTGGCTTAAACATGAAAACAAGCTAGTACAAGAACATTTTCCTTTAACCACTCAGTGATCTTTTAAACATTCAAATGACAAAACTCTTTTTTTTCAAACAAATGTAAAAACACTATCATCATCGGTTCAATGTTGCACAGTTAAGACTTTATGGAGGACAGGATCACATTTACAAGACTGATCTCCCCACCCCCCCACCCCCCATTATACCTATTTGTTGGGAAAAGTTTAGACAAAAGACACAGAGTTTCTTGAAATCAGAACCTACTCACCTTCTTGGGTCTGTTGTGCCAAAATAGCAGTGGGAAGAAGCAGAGTGAGAAGTAGCCAGGTCCCCTTTTGCACAAAGCTCATCATGTCTAAATAACAGACATGAGACTCTTTGTGAAAAAGGAGAAAAGAAAAGCAGCTCAGAGTAGCACCATCAGTTGTTCCCTGCCCTTCAGCACCGGGCCCGTCATAAAACTCAGCCACTGAGATTGCTTTGCTTTAGCCTTAAATAGGAAAAAGTTTGGCTTCTCTCACTTTCCAGCCCCTTTCTGAAATATGAGAGCAGCACCCATCCCCTTAGCAGTAAAAGAAATGATTAATATTTCTCTTCCCCCTTATAGAAGACACAACCCACAAAGCCAGGAAAACAGCACATCTGGAGCCTGTGTGTGTGTCTGCTATGTAGAACTTATGACATATTTCACTCTTTTCGGTATGTGTGTATAACATATGCACATATACTGGAATTCTCTGCCTTGTGTTTTGATGTAACAATTAAGTGTGTGTTGTTTTATTTCCCTTCATGATATTGCATTCACAATACCATATAAGCTTAAGAAATTGCATGATGCCCATTTCTTGGGCATGGTTATTTGCAAACTGTCTTCCAAGAAGATATTTCTATTGGTATTTTGCCAGAATCCACCCTAACTCGATTTACAGAGGGAACTGTTAAGAGATTAAAAAGAGTAAAAGCCTCTGTTTTGTCCCTTTCTCTGATCCATTCACCCTTGGTTCTGGACATTAAATTTCAAACAACTGTCAAAAAGACTTATATGTTTAAATGATATCCTAAAAGTTAAATACTTATCTAAGAGTTTCTCCATTGCTCACAATATTTTTTTCTTTTAGTAAGCCAAACAGGGTCTTTGTTTTGTTTTAGGGTGGAGTTCTTTGTTGTTGTTGCTGAGATTTCCAATTTTTATGTTACTTATGTAAAAATTCAGCCTCTTCATGTTGATTTTATAGGAAACTTGAAAAGAAACAACTTAACACATCATGGTAAAAAAAAATGTTGGGTGCAGTTATGTTGACTTTAGACTTATAGGGATCCCATGTGGCAAAATTGAAAAGCCTGCTAGGGTTTTCTAGGCTACGATCTTGATGTGAGTAGATCCTTTATCCCATGGAGTTGCTGAGTGAGTTTAAACTGCTAATTTTTCTGTTAGCAGCCAAACATTTAACCAATGGTTCTTCAGGGCTCCTTACAAAGCAAAACAAACAAACCAACCTCTGAAGGTATTTGCATTTTATCTAGATTAGTATAAATATTTCTAAATTTAAACTTTCAACTGTATATATTTAAGTTCTACATCTACATAACTTCAATATTTCTCTGGATCATGGGAATAATTAATTTGTCTGTATCTGAAAATGATAAAAAGATCATTTTTGATCTTTGGTAAGTCTCAGCAGGAAAGATGCTTATGCACAGCTTGGAAATATTTTTTTTTATACAACTAATCAGCTGTCTACAATAATCTCATTAACTCTACATTCTACTATCATAATCTCATCTCCATTGAGTTAGAACCAACTCATAGTTGACCCTCAAGCTTGTTTTCAGAGACTGTAATCACATCGGATGGGACTGCTCATCTTTGTGGATTTGAACTACCCATCTTTGAGTTGACAGCAAAACTCTCTAACCACTATGCACCCAGAGTTCCTTTCAATTCAAGTTAAAGGTGATTTTCCTTCGTGTGTCTATTCAATAAATTAACCATTTCTGTCTCCATATAAGGTGTAAGAAAATTCTCTCCATCTCACACCTGTTAATGAAAATCACTTCTCTAAGACCCAGGCAAAAAATTCCTTCTTAAGAAACTGTCTTCTTTAAGAGTGCTTTTATCTTTTTTCTTTTCCCCCAGTGATATTTTTCTGTTTTAATTGATGGCACATGTATTTTCCTAGGTGTGCAGCTATTTAAGGAACATGAACTGACAGTGGTGTACTTTCATTCCTTTCAACTCTAGCTTCAAGAAGAACAAACCAAGTTACCCCAATGTGGATGATATCATCTGATGATTGAGAAGAGAAACTCGTTGGTCCAATTTGCGCATCTTCTCATTTTACTTGGGGAAGTCACTTCTTGAAAGAGAAAACAAAGAGGATGTGTAATGATCTTGAACATTAGCTTTTCTATGGACCATGCTGCAGATTTTATATTTTATTATCTGCATCATAATTGTCTAAAATATTCCTGTTTCCAAAAAATTACTAAAGATGATGAGATTTATCCTAATACTTACGACATTTATGACTTTTATTAGTTTCTCTGTTTTAGATACTTTATAGAGGTTGAACATTATTAAGTTTGATCATTGGAACAGTTTTCAACACAACAATGAAATGTACAGTTTTAAAAACTTTCTTGTTTTGCAGTCATCTACAAGAATTTCTTTCACATTTTGGGTTGTCCTTAATGTCTTACTTTCATAAAGCCATTCAAATTTATAACAATCTTATACTCCTGAGAACATTTTCAAGTTGATACATTCACTTAAACATAGTTATCTGATAGTTTGCAAGCATTGTTACTTTAATTCATATTTATATTCCTGACAGGAGAATTAGTATTCCATATTTTCTGATTTACCATTATTCTTATCTTGAGCATACTTGGAGGTCCTAAACCAACACCTTTTGCATTCTAAGGTCCAACTCCTGTGCTCCCTCCTAATGTCAAAGTGCTCTCTCTGTATGGGTCTGAATCTGCACTGGTGTGGTTACTACGGGAAATGCACATACCAGTCAACTCTACTATCTTATCTAGGAGCTGTTAGGAATCTGGACACACATTTCTTTCTATACCATTCAGCTCTTGCTGATACTTTCCAGGACATTCAAACATGTCACATTACTCTCTGGGTTGCATTTGGAGTTTTAACACAAATCTAAACAACTGCACCAACTAAAGTACTGATTAATCTGGCTGCTTCTTCAACAAAGAGAGGGACTAGAAAGATGAGCTAAAAGAAGGGAGTGGCAGATTATCAATCAAAACTGAAAATCTTTTCCAGTTTTGTGAGAAACAGGGCTTGGGAGAGCTGCACAGTCCCAGCTGTGATTAATTCAGTAGACCAGTGAATGTCAGCAGTGCTCTCTACAATAGCAGCAAGGAAATCAATGATCTCTATCATGAAAAACACACGAACAACAGTCCTTCAAACACTTGCTCTCCTCCACTTTTCTTCTCTCTCGCTTTTCTCTGTTTCTGTCTTCTCCACTTATTCCAGCATCTTATTCATAGATCACTTTTCTATTAATTTTAATGAAAGTTTACATAGACTTAGGGTTTCCATACATTCATTGTTGTACTTTTCTCTCTGCTCACCCCTTCCCCCTCAATTCGCTCTTCTCTTTCAAAAGTAAAAGAAAAACTCTTTCATTGTTACACAATAGCACCCCCCAACCCCACCAAGTACTCTACTGTGCAGCCTTCATTCTGGACTCCTGTCAGGACAATAATATCTAATCATATATCCCTTTTAAACAGTTTTCTTCCGCATCTGTTTCAATGCAGTATACAGTATTTATCCCCTCTTTCTCCATCTCCCCCTCAACGCAATGTCAGTCCCATTTTACAACAGTGACCCTATGCAATATTTGTCCTTTTGTGACTGAGATATTTCACTCAGTATAATGTCCTCTGGGGTCACCTATTTTGTATAATATTGCATGAGTTCCTTGTTTTTCAATGCAGCATAGTATTCCATGGTGTGAATATACCAGCGTTTCTCTATCCTTTCGTTTGTGGATGCCAGAAAGAATGGCAAAATTTAACAGAACAGCAAACATCAAATGCTGGTGAGGTTGCGGAGAAACTGAAACCCTTATTCACTGTTGGTGGGAGTGTAAAATGGTGCAACCACTATGGAAGGCTGTATGGTGCTTTCTCTAAAAGTTGTAAATAGAAATACCATTTGACCCAGCAATTTCCCTACTGGGAATACACCCTAGAGAAACCATAACTGTCGCCCAAGCAGATACATGCACACCCATGTTTATTGCGACTTTGTTCACCATAACATAGTTCACTTTTCTTTTCTTTTTTTTTTTTAATTTAAGGCAATGTCTTATTTTATGGATGCTTTCATATCCCTACAAAATAATTTTAAGATGTATTTCCAACAATACTGACACAAACATATTGAATGTATAGCAGAATTGCAAAGTAAGTTAGAATACCCACCCTTGGTAGCTATCTCTCATAGTGGATACTAACTAACTTTCTTAAGGGTGGTAGTGGGAAGGATGTCAAATTGCTCACCTTACTTATTGTTGTGTATCCTTGAATCGGAATCAACTCATAAATGAGTCTCCCTCCAGCAGGTTTTCAGAGGCTGTTTAATTGCATGGGAGAAGATTGCTCATCTTTCTTCCATGGAGAAGTCGGTGGACTTGAACTACTTGCCTTTGGGATGGCAGTGCACCTCCTTACCAGTAAACCACCAGAGTTCCTGGAATGTTACACGTTGTTGTTAGATGTCATTGAGTCACTTGCGATTCATAGGGACCCAACTCACAAAAGCTCTGAACCCTGCCCTATCCTGAGCCAGTTTCACTGTCTCCAACACACCAAACCCTGTTATCTAAGTTACTGTGTCACTCTATCTCCTGTAGAGTCTTCTTCTCCTGTGTTGTCCCTCCACCCTTCCATGATATTCTTTACCAAGGACATATCCATCCTGGAAATATGCCCAAAGTATGTGCGATGAGATTTAAGATCCTTGCCTCTAGGGAGCAACTTGGTTTCACCCTTTTCACAACAGACCTGTTTGTTCTCATGGAAGTCCAGGGTATGTTCAATACACTTCTCTAGCACCACAATTCAAAGGCAATGATTCTTCTTCTATCATCCTTAGGCATTATCCAGCTCTCTGATGCATAGCAAGTAATTAATTGGAAAGTATAATATGAAACAACAATCTCATCTTACCTAAGTAGCACTGTATTTGGAGAATTCTATTCATGCTGAAGGTTGTTGAGAAACTGAAAATATTGGGGGGAAAATGACATGTTATAGTTGAAACTAAAAAAAATAAATTCATTGTTACAGAGTCCCTCAACTCAAAGCTGACCTTCCACTGAGTTTCTGAGGCTGTAAATCAAACTGGTGCAGATTACCCATTTTTCGTTAATGGAGCTCTTGTTAAATTCTAACCACTTGGTGGGAGAGGGTCTTCAGGTTGC